ACACCAATCAGATAACATCACCAAACAATCCGACAACAGCATGGACTGCACTGTTGATTGGTCATTTCGTTTGCTTTCAATGGTGTTCCTTGTTATCTAATGTATATGTGATTCATTGTTAACTGCTAGATATGGTGTTCATTATCGACCACTATATATGGTGTTCATAATTAACTATTGTTAATAGTGTATTTATTGACTACTATATATGATGATTACTATTAACTGCTGTATATAGTGTTCTTATCGACCGCTATATATGGTGTTCATTATTAACTACTTTTAAAAGTGTTCTTATTGACTTCTATATATGGTGTTCATTATTAACTACTGTATATACTGTTCTTATCGACCACTATATATGGTATTCATTATTTACTACTGTGATTAGTGTTCGTATTTACTATTATATATGGAGTTCACTATTAATTACTGTATATAGTGTTCTTATCGACCGCTATATATGGTGTTCATTATTAACTACTGTTGTTAATGTTCTTATTGACTGCTATACATGTTCGTTATTAACTACTGTATTTAGTGTTATTATTGACTACTGTGTATGGTGTTCATTATTAACTACTGTTAATAGTGTTCTTATAGACTACTATATATGGTGTTCATTATTAACTACTGTATATGGTGTTCTTATCGACCACTATATATGGTATTCATTATTAACTACTGTATATAGTGTTCTTATTGACTTCTGTGTATGCTTTCATTATTAACTACTGTATATAGTGTTCTTTTTTACTACTACATATGGTGTTCATTATTAACTGCTTAGTGTTAATAATGCTATGTATCGGTTCTTTGAGTTAGCTGATGTGTCTCTGACTCGTTCTGTTCTCATTCCCACACGCGCAGCTCTTGGCACATGTCTGGGCGTAGCAACATTCTATCCCTTCTGGACCCTCGATGTCGCTCAACTCTCAGATATGAAGTCTCACATTCAGCATTTGGTATGTCACAAAGGACTTCAATGTTGACCATTGCAGGCTGTGAGAAGTTCCGGTGTAGTGGCGTGCGACTGCACACGCCAAAACCCTTTTACCCTAAACCCTAAAACCCTAGAACCCTTTCGAATTCTGTCACTGCTCTGTAGTTGTTGGTTCCTCTGCATTGTTTCCATTCGACTCATTCTTTCGTCCCCTGTTTCTAATTGGCTGTTGTCAGCTGCATCGCGTGTGGTGTCATGTGGAGATGTCCTCTTCACATCCGGACAGGACCACAGTGTCCTGGGTCACACCCTATCTGCAGCAAATGGTCAAAATGGACTCAAACCCACACAGTCTCTCGGCCAATGGGAACGCGCCGCGACAGAACAAAATGCCCATGTCGAACCACATGCATTTGATGTTAAAGGACTCGCCGCTGCTGAAGACTATGGTGCGCTTGTATCGTACGAGAGCTGTAAGGTATCAAATTCTGCTGTATATGCTATAGTTGAATCTAGGGCAATTTATAATGCTAGCCCTAGTCTGTGGTGTAGAGGCATTGACCTCTTGATATAAGTATTAGTTTTTCTTTTAGAGGAGGTCGTTCTGCAGGTCCTGTTGGTGTATATGTGTGTGGGCGTTATAACGCGCAAAGACACCCGTGCACTTACGTACAAACGAATGCCTGATATTTTATCCACCAAATTTTAAGGGGTTCCAGGGTTCTAATACCCTAAACACTAAATTGCCCCACTCATATCTATCACTGCAGCGACGCCTCTCTGGCGAATGCGGGACTGGTGTTCCTGAGTGTAGATCAGCTGTTGCAGAGTTTCGGAGTGACTGTGCGCGACGTAGAAGGCGCAGACTTCAGCAATGCATGCGATGAGAATACCTCTGAGGCTACTACCACTGATAAGCAACGTACGTGGAAATGTAGTTGTGAACAAAGAGGATCAAAGCCTTGCTTTTCCCGCACGATCTGGGCGTGCGTCTATCTATATTATAATCCGACTACGCTTGCAACTATTGTATGCAATATATTATGTCGTATAAATGTTGATCGATATATACCTATATATATATGTATATACATATATATGTGTGTGTATGCATATATATAATATGGGGTGGATGTTTTTGTGTTGGTGGTGGGTGGGTGGCGTTGTATATATTTGTATGGGATTGTACATATAAATACGTGTTCAAGTATGTTCTGAATATTTTCGGCCGGCTTATGGACATCAATATAGTTGTACTATTATGTCTCTATGATAATTCCTGCATACCTACTGATTTCGACCAGTGATTCCCTTTGCGTATCAGCTCACTCTTCGCCTGTCCACTCTCACCTCCTGTGCAACAGATTCGTTAGAGTTGCCACCTGACACGGATCGCATGCTGACGAATGTCTGTCCGCTGCTGCTGTCAGTGCGCGTGGTGCTGTATGAGGCAAAGTACTCGTCCAACGAAGCATCTGTACGCATCTCCGCACGGCCGACTGTGCATGTCACGCCTCTGTGTGTCAGTGGGGCGGGTGTGTCTGTCTATATGCGCGCCGAGGGTCCGGGGAGTCCGTATATGGGCACACACACAGCGTTACATTCACCCCCAAACACAAACTCACAAACCCAAACGCGCACGCAAGTGCTTGCGCATCCATCAATACACGGCCAATCGGTCATTGGCCACGACAGAGTGCCGCTAGGAATGAGTTCGCAGACAGACACACGCGCACCCACTCTCTCGCCAGTGCCACTAACCACTCGCGCAGACCCACAACAACCACAACCACAACCACAGCAACATACACACACACACGCACAAGCACACGCACTGCAACCCACTGCCGTCTCATTGCCCTTAACCAACGGTGTACTCTCAACTCACAGCGGCGCTAGTTTGTCTGCAAGCGTTGCGCACGCGTCACCGCAGCCGAGCGCACATGACAGACTATCTAAGGGCACCAACACATCACAACGACACGCGCACGTGACCACCCACACGCCCACACAACCCACCACGGCACACAGCCGACAGACCAATGGGCCACCCCACAGCCACACGGACGAGTACGAGACGGAGCTGCAGTACTGGTTCTTCCAAGCGAACCCTCGGCTGCTACACCTGTCTGAGTTTGTGCGGGAGCATCTGGTGCCACGCACTGTCGCTCGCGTCAGGTGCGTGGGTGGTTATAAGTGTTGGCAGGGCCTGTGTATATAGTCATGACAGGTTGTGACTTATTTGTAGACATATTGTACAAGTATTGCGATTGGGTTGCTGCGATGTTGATGTGGGGTGGGTGGTTATAAGTGTTGGCAGTGCCTGTGTTTATGGTCTTGACAGGTTGTGAGTTATTTGTAGACATATTGTACAAATATTTAGATTGGGTTGCTGCGATTTTGATGTGGGGGGGTTGTTTGTAGGTGTTGGCTGCACCTGTGTAGGTACCATTGTCACACAGGGCTGTTGTGTAATGGTGGTTACGTATTTGTGTAGTGGTGCCATTGTCCTTCGCCCTAGCTTTTCCTACACTTATACAACATGGTACTTGGATTAGCTCTATAGCAGTGTGTTCACAAAGCTCATGCACTGCGCCGACTGTCGACCCAGTCATACATTTATAACTTACATATATAAATTACATATATAACTTACCAGTCTTACATATATATGGCAATTGAAAATACGCAGAAAAAGCTCACCTGCACCACCCCTCACAAATAACACAGAGATGAACTGATTCCTCTGGCTGTGCATATGCTCACAGCCAGCGACGCGTTTCGAGAGATTATTCGATTGGCTGTGGCCGAATACACAAACCAGCGCACAAATGCAACTGCGACAGTTGCCACAGTCGATGCAAAAACTGCGGACGATATACGAATCACTTCTGGTCAAGGGGTATGTGCTAATGTCTTTTATTCTATTGGCGAGTTTCATTTTATGGCATTAAAATATGTAGTATATAATATGGGATGTATATGAATTACGAGCGCCCATTGGCGTATACTGCTGTAGTGTGATGAGTTGAATATACCCGAGCCTACACACATACATCAGCACATGTATGTACAGGTACGAGTATTTATCTTCTATTATATATATATATATATATATACATACTGAGACTCG